GGGCAGAACCGGCAGCGCCCGCCGCCACTGAGGATCCTGACCGGGAGCAAGAGGAGATGCAGCCAGCCCCGGCAATGCCATGCGCCCAGAGGCAGAGGAAGACACCCAAGAACCCTGAAATCACGCTTCTGAGGGAAACCACAGACCGAAGGGTTAATGAAACAGCCGTGAGGAGACACATTTGTGCAAAACCCGTCCTCATGTTGGCTAATTACACCTTGACTTGAAGCAAAGGCCGCTTAAAATCCTTGCAATTATTTTTGTAGGCAAGAAGAAAAGACATGAACTCACCTCTGTGAATGATTTTCAAGTTTTCTTTTAAGTGGTTTAGTGCTTTCACAGTCTAGGAAAGAAAAACAGATGAAAAATAAGCAAATGCAGTAAGATTCTTGTGATTATTAAACTTTTGGAGCTCCAAGAAGGGGGGGAAACCATTTAATATGTTGAGATATCAATGCTATAATATGCCATGTGATAAAAGCATTTTTCTCCCAATCTTTCCTGCAAACAGAAGGTGATGCAAGAGAGGGCATGTGCTTAACTGAACCCATACCACTCGCTGCAACCTGGGAAGAGGGGAGCAAGACATGAAGTCAAGCAATTGCTGATGTTAATTATCTTGAGTAATAACTTACTTCAAGCCCTATGCTGTACTTTTGCAGCAGGTAACAACCATTCCCATTCCGCTGGCTGAGCAGCAGCAGTGTGAGGAGCAGCAGAGGAGGCTGCTCCGATTTAACCGTTCACCGTTAAATGGAAGAGGCATGTAGGGAGCCTGATTTCACAGGACCATTTAAAAAAACAAACCTCAAAGCTCACCATTTTAATTCATTTTGCTTCTGCTGACAAGACCATCAAAACCAAGGGCCAAAAGTCTGCCTTGAAGATGACGGTAAGAGGGTGTTATGTTGCAAAGCACTCTGAAGCTGTGCGAATGTAAGGATGAAGTCTGGCACCGAGGAACAACATCCAAAAGACCAGTCCTTCCTGCTCACAAACCCTGTGTTCATGTGTTTAGGTAACTAAAAGCTGTGGCAGGCTCTGGTGCAGCTGAAGTCCTGTCTCCTTCTCGCCACCCACCTTACCCCTCCAGTGCAGGTTTCTGCTCCAGCAGCAGAAGCTGTACAGCTCTCTGAACAGCAAAGCATAACTGATTTTTGGCCAGGCCCATAGTGGAATGAGACAGGACGAGGCCTCCTGGGACCTGAACTTCAGCAAGAGGAAGCCTGCTGGACTTAGGGACCGAACGCTGATTTAAATACCAGCTGACCCTGCCAGATGCTTGTGCCCCCACCCTCAAGTGGATGAAGCAGAAGCTCATGGCTCTTCAGCCTGGGGTGAAAGAGCTCCAGCACGAAATGCAGGGTGGTTGGTGGAGCACACTGAGCTGTGAGCTACAGCACATACCCCACCTGCACGTGATGGGGCTACCAGGGCACATGTAGACCTGGACCTGGAGGCCCTCAAGGTGCAAGATACTCAGGGCCAGTATTCTCATACCAACCAAACGCTGTTCCTCACTGTTTTCTAGAAAACAATGGACAGAAACAAACCTCAGACCACAAGATCTTGTCAGAACCTGTCTAAGTTCCTAAAGCCAGCCTGTGCAAGAGGACCTCCCTCAGGAGCTGCTGGGGCAAACTGCTGGCCTTCAGGTGCAACATGGAGGAAGAAAAGTGGTGCTCGATGAGCAGCCCACGACCTCCCACACCACGCAGATGGGCTTCACATCCCCAGATCTGCTGTAGGTCACGGAAAATTTTAGCTCACTCAGTCCATCCCTCACCCCCAGGTTAGAAACATCCAAGGTGGTCGTTTCCCTGGCCAGGAGTTAAAGCTTTGGTGCGCTTTCACAGCATGCTGCCTGAACAGAGTAAGCAGAGAAACTCCCTTTGAGAGCTTCAAAACTCATCTCAAGTCTCTGTCCCAACTATCTTCATCGGGCAAATGCCTTGCAAGGCCTGTCTGAGCCAATATGTGGGCCAGAGTATCTAACGCCCTGCAAACCCTAGGAAGTAAGGATCTCCTTTTCTTCCCCTAAGGACAGACCTTACCCAGCCATCTCTCATCTATGTCTCAATTTGGCCAGTAACACATTCAGTTGGTTGGTGGTAAGGCGATGCATTCCATGGGCTGCAGAACAGCCACTGGCGGCCTTTGATAGGACTTTCAGTCTTGGGTATAAATACGTGACAGTGCCTGAGCTGCCAAGGCAGTGCATTAGCTGTAAGAAGTGGCAGCAGGACCAGGTAGACTCAACGTTTTATGAAGATGCCCCTATGAATAGTGAAGATGTTTTTTTCCCACATTCACTCACATCTCCCCCCGTCACTCCTGAATGGTGCTTCACGTCAGCAGCCTTTCATCACCCAGCAGCCCCACTGAACTAATTTGTTTCACTTGGCCTTGTTTTTTTTATTGGGCCAGGACTTCCAGGACTTCCAGGTTAGGTCAAGAAAACACCAACCAGGTTCTCCACCTGCTGAAGACGCAGTTGTAGTTTTGGGAGCCTTTGCACAAGGCTACTAGAGGTTCCTCTGGACTGAAGTGGCCCAGCACCCCCTGCAGAAATCCAATGGGCCTGACAGATCGCTTTAGAGCTCTTTTACCCCAGGCTGAGGGTGGGGGCAGAAGCTTCTGGCAGGGTCAGCTGGGATTATAAGCAGCAGCATGACAAAGGGTTCAGGGTACCTTTCAACACCCCTTCCTCCATGGCCTCAAACTAAAAGTTTGTTTTGCACAGCCAAAACTTGCCCTTGTGTTTAGACAACTAAGTGCGCATTTTGGCACAGCCAAGGATAACTTCACAGGGCTCCTTAAAGGGAGACAGTGGGCTCTGTCTAGCACAGCTGCACTCAAGATACCCTGGGTGGGATTCATTCCCCTTCACCACCTAAGATACCAGGAGGTGGGAACTCAGCTCCCATACAGAGGCACCAACCTCTCCCCACTGACTCAAGACCTGACCCTTATTCTCAAATGGTCTGGGGGGGTTCACATGTCGCAGCTATAAATGCCCAGTCCCTTGTTCCCTTCACAAACAAGGGAAGGGGAGGCAGCTGATCTATGTTAGGCACCTTCCTTGGGATGAGAAGGCCTGTGCACAGCTTCCACTGATGCCACCCCAGGGCAGATGAAGCCATCAATCAATCCCTGCGGAGGGGGCTGACAGCACTGATGTTCAAGCAGAGGGCAGGAGGCTGGCACAGGGGTCTCTGTCTGCACTGCTTACAAACCCCAGGACCTGTTCTTCCGTCATGCCATACGCTATGAGAAAGTCAGAGCGTACTCAAGGATCATTAAACTGCGGTGCAGTACAGCAGCAGTTCTGCCACAAGCAGAGCAACCAGCCTGCTCACAAGTGAGCCAGAGAGATCGGAATGTTTCACATCAGCTTCAAAAACATACACAAAAAGGTTTGACAAAATACTCACAGCTAAAGTGATTTTGCCTAGGATTTCTTCTGGAATAACATCATCTAATACACTATATACATATTTGTAAAACTTATCAAACGAGGTAGACATGAGCTCCATACAGATCCAACAGTCACCCTGGAAAGAAAAGAATCTGTGTTACTGTCAAGATAAAAACGAGAAGCAAAAATCCTGAGAGAATAACGAGCTCCCTTGAATCCAATGAAATACATTAATGGCAACATGCATCTGACAGGAAGGATGGAATTCATCTTGGTTAACTGCAGCAGTGGAAGACTGGCCCCTGCACACACCTCTCCCCACTCCATCCACCAGCAGAGGAATCTGGCTGACCAGTTCACACCCAGTATGACATTTTGATGCCTGAACCTAGATGAATCCAAGTCTCAAAAAGTGTTTGGCTCTCCAGAAGGCTGCAGGCACAGCGAAACACCAGCATTTACAGTAAGACTAAAAAAAATCCCTTCGGTTTATGACCACCCTATAGAGGACCAAGGACATTTCACACAACATTCAGAGACAGCGTCTAAACAAGAGCAAATGAAACTAAAGCCAAGTATGGGGGGGTGTTGTTTATTTGCATCTTACGGTTAAACAATTTAGATGCAGAAAGTTGTAAAGTAGACTGTGTTAAACCAAGCTAAGCTTAACTACCATAGGACAATAACATGGTTTTTTTAGCAAACTCGCTCCTGAGATCTGTAAATCGACCCACTAAACAGTGGATGTGCTGGGGGTGAGAAATGGATCCCCACAATATAGAAGGACTTAATCTTTTGGTGTAGTATGTATCTACCATAAGGGGATGGACAGCTTAGCCATGGATTCTTAGTTATTTCCATTTTTTTTTTAACATTTTACCTACAGTTGAGGAAGACAGAAGGCTTTGCATGAGCTATTTCTGTAGACTCTCATGCACTTCAGGCAACTCCTCACTGCTAGAAATACTAAACCGCTAGAACTAGACCTGTCTTCACCAGGAATGACATATTCATACCTATCTTCTACAGGCTGTGTCACAATGAATGAATGTTAAAACTGCATTAGCTGTCAAAAGCTAAATGCAGAAAGGAGTTGTTATTCCTCATGTCTCATCCTGGCTGAATACCAGCTCTAACACTTGTGCAGGGAGCAGCACCTTGCATAGGCAGTGCTTCCCTGGGCCGCCTGCCTGGTCACCACCAATCTGCACACTCCTGTGATACAGGAAGCAACAAACAGAGGAGAAACTTTCCCAAGTGATTATTCTCCAGAAGGTAGATTTTCCCTTACCAGAAAAAACACAAACCAACTAACTCTATGCTAATACATAAATGTATACATGTAGGGAACGGACATGCTGGACGTGTGGCAAAACCCTGTGCTCCCTTCCTGCACACCCAAGTCACTTCTGTCTGAAGCAACCTCAGTGCTTGTGAGAGGCAGGAGCAATTCTCCAGTTACATTTAGCTGATGGAAAAGCTTGTAGAGCCACAGGTCTTAAGGCCACTCAGAGTGACCTCCTGTGAAACACAGGCCAAGGAACTGCAACCTGCCAATACGTCTCCAGTCCAAATGCTTGGTTAAGCGGGAACAGAAGTGCCCAGCAAAGGTGCTGTCAAATGCTGCACACGGGTATCAGCAGAGGCAGCTGATACACGTGCAAGGCTGTTTTCAGCAACGCAGACAGCAAACTGCCAGGCAGCATCCCACGTGCCACCAGCGTTACGGATGCTGCTGCTCCAGTGGCAGCAAATCCATCACCGGCTCCTACCAAAGGAGGGATGCTACCTCTGAGAGAAATAGAATAGAATAGAACAGAACAGAATAGGACTATTTATATTGGAAGGGACCTGCAATGATCATCTAGTCCAACTGCCCGATCACTTCAGGGCTGATCAAAAGTTAAAGCCTGGTGTTAAGGGTATTGTCCAAATGCCTCTTAAATACTGACAGGCTCGGGGCATTGACCCCCTCTCTAGGAAAGGAAACCTGTTTCAGGGCTTGACCAACCCTCTCATAAAGAAATGCTTCCTAATGTCCAGTCTAAACCTCCCCAGATGCAGCTTTGAACCATTCCATGCGTCCTAACACTCCCAGAAGGACATGGAGGGGCTGGAGCGTGTCCAACGAAGGGCAGCGAAGCTGGGGAGGGGTCTGGAGCCCAAGGCCTCTGGGGAGAGGCTGGGGGAGCTGGGGGTGTTAAGCCTGGAGAAGAAGAGGCTGAGGGGAGCCCTTATTGCTCGCAGGAGGAGGGGGCCGGCGGGGGGGCTGGGCTCTGCTCCCAGGGAATGGGCGATGGGACGAGGGGAAATGGCCTCAATTTGTGCCAGGGCACCTCTTGTGACCAGGGCTATAACAGAGAGCCTCTCACCTCTGGGAAGGGGGAGCTGCTTACCTAGGAAGGGCTGAGCTGAGGGAGGGGAAGGGCTGAGCTGACGGCGAGGAAGACAAGAGTGGGTTCAAGCCATGGGCAGCCCCATTTTATGCTGCTCATTTGGCACCAGGTTTTTCACATCAGCACAAGGCAGGGCAGGAGCTAACACTGGACACCCAAGGGAAATGGCTGTCACAAGCCTGAGCCCACACACATTTCACCCAAAATAAACCAGAAAAGACTCATCAAAAGGTGCTGGGCCAGACACAGAAGCAGACACCTCAATGTAAGAGGCAAATGCAGCACAGCGGGAAGAGGACGTGACCAGGGCTTCAGAAGTCGTGGAGAGAGGTGAGCTTAAGCTTGAAAGATTGGCTATGGATGAATTTGGCTAAGGACCTGTTCAGATTTAAACTGCGGACATGAAATTAGGCAACACATGCAGAAATTTCCCTTTTCAGCACTGGCAACAACTGTCAGGTGCAGCTGAGGCACCTCCATACCACTTAGAGTGGCTCAGAGAAAGCAACGTGGATCCATTGCTAGCGATGGGCATAAATCAAGTGAAACTGGAACCACACCAGATCCTTACAAGCTACCTGTAGTGAAAGCAAGCACAGACTTGTTCTACTGGCTGCAGGATCATTCAGAACAGTGCTTCTGTTTTGACCAGCTTCGTATAAAAAATGGTACTGTGCTATATCCCTGCGTTATTGTACTGAGACTGCAGGGGGATGGGATTTGTCCAACGATGTCAGAATATTGCTGACCACCTGCAGCCTCTGTTTATGCCCAATCACACCAATATTGTGTCTTCAGCCGTGCAGGGTGGTGTTCCTACAGCAAAGGCCAACTGAAGTGAAACAACAGGCAGCCTTCTTAGAGCTGTCATTGTGACAAAAGCTTCACAACCCACTTTGTGCATCTGCAGGGCTGGGACTTGTGCATTACCGAAAACTCAAACAAGTACAATCAATTGTTATCCAATGTTATTTTAACCATAAAAAAAATTGTACATGACCAAAAGCACCAAAGGGAAGGCTTGGTTTACTTGGTCTGCTGAAGTATATGCCATATAGAAATCCTGGATGTGGGCATTTATTGATCTGGTAATATAAAAATCTACCTGATCAACATAAACCTATGGTAGCAAGATCAATGACACAAGATGACAGACTTTTTCAGTTAGGCAGCTGGTGGCAAGATTCAAAACTCTACAGGTTCTTATCTCTTCCTGGGACTCGAAAGGACTTCGCTATTGCTGAAGCTGAGGAATTTTACTGAGAACAAGAAGGAAGACCAGCAGGGACGACTGGGTACCCGCCACCCAGCCCTCTTTCTGATCGAAAACAAAAAAGGTGCTGATGTGCACAGGAAAGCTCTGCATCACTGTGAATTGTGAGGACAAAACCATCTTAATGGAAGTTTCTCTGTAATTTATGCTCCTAGGTCAGGTTGATTTCTGATTATAACAATAGCAGCATTTTAATTTTCTCTTCCAGCTAGAGCTATTCTTCCAAAGAATATATTTTAGTCCTTATTGGGTATTAAATTACCAGATGCCAATACACATCTTGTAGGCATTCCAAAAGATGCCAAGGAACACCCTGCACATTTCATTCACAACACTGCTGTCCACCCCCAGGACATAAGACAAAAAACACTCAAGCAGCAACTGGGATGCTTCACGTTCCGAGAGCAGTGGCCTGAGCTCCCAGCCAACAGCTGAGCAGGTCACAGAGATGCCACCCAGCTGGAACGCAGCCTGGTAGAAAAGACCTGGGGGTCCTGGTGGACACCAAGCTAAACACGAGACAGCAACAGGCTCTTGCTGCGAAGAGGGTGAACGGTGTCCTGGGCTCCATTAGGCAAAGCGCTGCCAGCAGGACGAGGGAGGGGATCCTTCCCCTCGACTTCGCACTGGTGAGGCCACACCTGGGGTGCTGTTTCCAGTTCAGGGCTCCCCAGTACAAGAGAGACATGGACAGTACTGGAGAGAGTCCAGCAAAGGGCCACTAAGATGACCAGAGGACTGGAGCACCTCTCCCACAAGGAAAGGCTGAGAGAGCCAGGGCTCTCTCTTCAGCCTGGAGAAGAGAAGGCTCAGGGGGATCTCATCCATGTATATAAATACCTGAGGGGAGGGCACACAGAGGATGGAGCCAGGCTCTTTTCAGATGGCTGAACCAATGGCTGATCGTGTCAGCACACTGTGGGGAGAGGCCAACCTTTTATGCGAGTTGCATCTACACTACTGAGAGAGAATGAGGGATGTCACCACCCCCACATACCCTTGTATGACACAGAGGACACTTTTCCTATGGACTGGGGACTGATCATGGGGACAGATGCCTTGAGCAATGCCAACACAGCCCAAGATTTCCTTTGCAAAAAGAGCAAATGCCTTGTGTGAACTGGCCAGGGGTACGTCCATAATTCACACTGAGGTCAGCACTGTGCTGCTGACACATTCGTGCTAGTTCTTCTCTTGTACCGGCAGAAGCTCCCCACAGACTCATTTACCTGGCTTCCTGGGCATGTTTTGCAACTAGCAATGAATTTTTCATTGAATAATTTTATCAACTATTGAGCTTGTTGGTTCAAATGTTTCCCCTTGTCCCATCGCCCATTCCCTGGGAGCAAGGCCCGACTCCCCCCCGCCCCGGCCCCCCCCCCCCCCCCCCCGCACTCATAGGGGGGCGCAACATCTTTATTGTAGTGAGAGGCCGAAAAAGAAGACTTTCCCTATCAGAAAATGCTTGCTGAACAAGTGAGATAGATTACAACCAGGGTAAAATACCTGTGTAGTATTTTTTGCCTTTCCAAAACAAAATTTTTATACTCATGAAGGCTGCCACAGTACCTTGCCTGTTTACAGTTACTTTACTAGTTGCAACCTGGGATTCTAGCCTGTCTTCAGAATAAGCCCTTGAGCAGTTTTGCACAATTTGGTTTAGTGCTCCCACTCCCCTAACTGTCGGGATCCAAGAGCTTAGCTGTGGTTCTCCACATCAACAGCTCACTCTTACAGAAAGGCAGGTAGCCTTCCCAAACAGCCCAGCTGCCCTGCTGCTCTTCTGAAGCTGCGAACATCTTCTTGTCAGTCATCGGATTGCGACAGCTGCCTACCCAACAGTGAAGCTCCTCTAAGGAGGCTCAAATTGAAGTCTTTCACCTTTTAGGAGCAGGCAGAAGACTTCCCATCCATAGCTCTGTCCATCCCAGGAGAATCTGAATCCTGGCTCAGAGTAGGCAGCCCCAAGAGGCCTTTTGGAACTTATTTCCTTACTTTTCACCTTGAAACACTGGAATGAAGTGCTTTGTTCATATACGTTTTGCTGTAGGACTTCCTGAGAGAGGTTCAGTCTTTAGTTACGTCCCAAGTGCTCTTATACTCCAGGGGATGGTGCTGCAGTGACCTGGATCACTCATGGGTATTTGGGAACAGATCTGCTAAGCAGAGGGTGGGGGTGAGACAGTTCAAAATTCTTTTTTTCCCTTTCTGTGCTTCTCTGCTGCCATAGTTTCCCAGCTTTAAAAGCTGTAATTAACGTTAGAATGTGTAATTCATATGACAAGACAGAAAACCTGATCCAAGCACATCAGCTCAGCCTGTGTACCTCTGACGTACATGACTTAGAACATCACCTTGGCAGTAAGGGACTGAGAAGAGGAGAAGGTAGTGTTTGTCTCAGAAGCAAATACCACTGATGCTGAGGGTGAGGAAAAAGGGGATCCCAGGGACCGACCCAGAGTGACCTTACTGAAACCTGTCCCAGATGGAGCACCCAAGGAGTGGCTGCAGAGGGACAGGAGTTTTTGACCAGACAAAGGGTGCAGCAGAAGCCAGGCTGATATTTGAGTGCTGATCAAGGTAGGGTTTTATACCATATATGTATTTACACTTACATCCTGGGATGCACCTAGAGCTGCCGAGAGGCGACAGGCTCGCACAGCTCTGAATGTGCTGCTCACCAGCATCTGGCAAGATGCTGTCCTGCCCAGAGGCTTTTCTTTACAACAGCCAAAAGCCTTATCTCTTGTATTTCAGCAAAGCTGGAAATATTCAGCTGAGGCTGAGGCTCCGCACTTGCTGGTAGCTTGTACTGTGTAAACACAGACAACACTGCCTGGCCCCAAACGGCTTTGTGTTTAAATAGGGAAGAAAAAGCAGAGCATGGGAAAAGGAGGGGTTATTATCCTTACTTTAGAGACTGAGATTTAAAGCCGGAGGAGTGACCTGGCAAAAATCCAGACGCAGACTCTCTAGAAGAAGGAGTTGAATATTCGGCTCCAGTTTGGGGCTTTAACGACAACACTGACCTTCTTTCTCCAACAGTTTCCAAGTAAAGCCCCAAAAGACTGTGCACGGGCTGCTATGCCTGATAATATGCAGAGATGATGAGTGGCCAGTAGGTCTCTCTTTGACACCTTCTCTTGAGCAGGTGTACTGGATTTGGGCTGAAGTAGTGGAAAACAGGCAAGGCTACAAGTCTGTCCCCCTACACTGTGCCAGCTTCAACCCCAGAGCAACTACAGGAGGGGGAACGATCCACACCTGCAGGAGCTCTCTGGAGGAAGAGGATGCAGTACTCAGGTTTTGACATTTGTCTCCTCCAAAACTCCTGTTCTTGCAAATGGACCAAATGTGTGCAATCCTGTGCTGCTCACGAATGCTTTATTCTTCTTCTTATGTCTGTTCTGAACAGACTCAGCTCAGACTGACGACTGGCCTCCAACCACAGCAAAAGTCTGTCTGGGCTACGTGGAGGCCAGCTTCCCAACTGTTTTTACTGGTCTTTCAAAGCTAGATAGCAATGGGATCACCCAGGCAAAGCACAAGGAGATAGAAGGATGCCTTCTGTGGCCCTGCAGCACAGTATCTACCTTAAATTGCAGTAAGTAGATGCTAAAACAGTCATAAATGTGCAGTGATTAACATCGTATTCCTGGCCATGAACAGCTAAAGTATGTCAGGATTAGCTGTGGTCAGCTGACATCGCTTTCAGTGCTCTAATTCTGTTCTTCACTTGGAAGCATTTGTGGAAGCACCACGTTGAATATCCCACTCCACAGCACACGCTACCTATGTGCATAAAAGGGCCAAGCAAAATTGGAGCCCCTAGGCTAGCTATTGCAGACATTGCTCCTCTCAAGAACAGTCATACAGTTTTGGTGTCTGTCCCAAAAAGACAGAGTAGAATTGGAAAAGATGCAAAGAACAGCAAGAAAGATATTCAAAGATCTGGAAGGGGTTCCGTGTATAACACAGGCTGGCACTTCCCAGGCTTGGTAAGACATGACAGAGGGGGAACATGGCAACTGTCCATAAAATCCTCAATGGCCTGGGGAGGATGGATAAAGAGCAGCTGTTACCACTTCTTCAAACGCAAAAACTAGGGGAAGCACTCAGAACAGCAGGATGAAAATTCAAAATGAATCAAGGTGATGGGCCTTCAAACAAGGGGAGGACAACCAAGGGAAGTGCCTCTCGGGGAGCACCACAGATTCAAAAAGTGTGTATGTATTCAAGGGGAAACGGAACACTTTCATGGAAAAGAAATCCAGTACAAATCGCTCAGCACACAGACAGCACATCTAGCTCAGAAGACACTCAGCTGTACAGGACCGGAGGCTAGGGCCAAGTATCACACACACTTCTGCAAGCAGATCCTGCGGGCTGTTGCCAGAGACAGAAAACCCCATTAGGAGTTTTGGTCTGACCCAGCATGGTCACCCTTACGTATCTGCAGGCAGAAAGCCCTTCAAGGCAGATGCATGTCAATGCAGGCTCTGACGCAGCCTGGATACATACATACACCCATGCGTCAGACCACCTTACAGGGAGCTCTGACTACCACCACAGCAGCCCCCTTCATCACGGGGACACAGCTCCTCCACACGGTCGCATCTCACAACCGCTGACATAAACCCCATTTGCTCCAAGTACTGTGCCGCAGCACTGCGCCCAGCCCAGCAGCATACGCTCTGCACGGGGGAGCCCCAGACCAGGAGCTCCTCAAGAGAGAAGAAAAGCAGGAAAGGAGGAGAGAGACACAACCATGAGTGCAAATAGCAGGTTTGGGCTCAGCAGCATGTGGGCATCTGGGTCCCCTGGTTAAATACCCTTGATTAAAAGTGGAGAGCTAAGGAACCTAATGTAAGTTAACTTCCTCCTCCTTATTGTAAATTGGAAACTGCAAAGAAAAAAAAAAAAGGTAAAAACCAAACTCTGCTATGAATGCAGCAAGTTTGGAGTGCCCACCTCTCTGAAGAGCGCGCCATAAAACTGAACAATATATGGGCAGTCACTGCTTCGCATTACTACATCAAGGTCCATCAGAAGCTGCTTCTGTTCTTTTTCATCCACTGTCGACCGAATTCTCTGAAAGAGGAAGAGTGGCAGAGACTTTATCACTTACATGCCATTACTGTATCCTCAGACCCGCTTCTGCAGGAACATGCCAGGGACCCCAAACCCAAGGCTGAGCAGGCAATCCCCAGGGCATGCTCAAACACACTCTAGAGAACTAAGCTGTGCTCTCAAGTAAGAAATATAACTGAAAACACTTAATGGCGTTTAATTCAGGCTATAAAATCCCCAGTCCTCTCAGGAGAATCAACGTTTTCAGATGAAATGTCAGAATGAAATTAAAGAGCAAACCAACATATTCAGGCTTTCATTTCAAAACAAATTCTCACACAATTCTTAGCCATGTTGGATGGGGCTTGAAGGCTGTTTTGAAATCTAACCAGGGAACGTTATGCTTAACATTTCTAGGACAAGCACAGAAGACAAAACGGCTCCCTCCACCATGCCTTTGCCATGGCTGGCACGGTCAAAGGGGACCATCACGTAACATGTTGCTCTGGTCATGGTAATGGTGGGCAAGAGTCCCGGGGGCTCTGCTCATAAAACTAACAATTTGTTGCCTAGTGCTGGCCTAGGGAACATTAACATGATATAAAAGAGATTTTCTATATAATTTTTTATATATATTAAAAATATAATACGTGTATATAAAGATATGCATGTATACATACACTATACTTTATATATACACACTATATATAAAGAAGAGTCTGATTTGGGCTTGAAAGAACAATGCAAGTTTGAAAACAGAAAACTGTACAATTCCAAACATGAAGCTTGTTAAATGAAGGACGGAGAAGACCATCCAAAGTTTTTCATGTGACTTTACAGACATATTTAATACCTTGCATTAATTAATGCATTCCCTGAATCACAGGTAAGGAAAATTGTGATCCTGAAGGTGTGACTCACGTTGAAAAAGCGTTAGAAAAACTAGAAAAAAATATTTGGCAACAAGTCCAAAGCAACAGGGGTAGCGTGGACCCTCCTTGAGGAGAAAAACTACTTGGCTACCCAAGAAAGAAAAATTATTAAAGATTGTGGGAAAAAGATACCAGCACCCCTTCCCACCAACACTACTGCCCTGTGAGCAACTGCTGATGGCATCAGACCACATGCATTAGCAAGCACAAGGCTCAGCATGTGAAGGTACTTTCAAGGTTGGCCATTCATATGGCACCATTTGAGAAACAGTGCATGGTTATTTACCTTAAGGACTATTTTGTGATGACCCACACAAAATGAGGACAGTATTGACACTATAATTTTCCTTACCTTTGTTGTATCCTGATATTTTGGTATTTCACCACTCATTCTGAATGTTCTAGTAGCTCTAGTTTGGCCTAAAACAGTCATTGTCATGTTCACATCACCCTTTTCCCTCCCAGTGAATTCTAGAGTAGTTGGGAAAACTGGCAAGGGACTTGCCCAGCACACCCACAATCTCTAACATCCACACCCTGAGATGCCGCTGAGTGGGTGGGATTCTGTAGTCACAGACAGAGCAAGAAGATGGCTCAATGGACTACTAAGGAAACTAAAAATCTTCACCTCTAGGTCACTGGTTCAAGTCTGTTTCATAGGAGTTCACTCACATAACTGAAGAAAGCCTGAAAAGTTTTATTATTTCTTCGTCTTATGTCTATGCCACATAAAGCTCTACAACCTCCTGCTGACATATCAACGCTGAGCAGACTGAATGTCTCTCTCTAGGTGGCACACCACTGGCACCACGTGAAACGCTAATGCCACTGCTCTGACCTCAACAGAAGACAATGGATGCCAAAGCCACCATGGGGGGACTTATGAGGAACAGTTTAGTCTCTCACTGAGACGCTCCCCACTCCTCTGAAAAGTTCACCTCTTTGGTGAGGAGCAATACCAAACGGAGCTTTCCTCCATAATGTAACTCACATCTCCCTTCTGTGCCAACTCCATCTCTCTCTGTCCCCAAAAAGCCTCTTTCGTGCCCACCCGGGAGTATCCCCAGGCCCCCTCTGCATTCTCCTTGCATCTGCACGATCCTGTCACAGCCATCCCCGCAGCATGCTCCTCAAAATCCACAACTTCCCCTGAAAGCATCTCCTCCCACTGCTGACATGTCCTTCTCTGCTGTTACATCTCCGCCTCTGTGAAATGCGTGTTGTATGGAGGAGGCGATTTTAACAGCACCCCTGAACAACACTGAACCCTAAGATGCCTCCTTTTCCCAAACACAATCTCCCCAGGGAGAGAGAGAAAGGGCAGGCAGAGGACACAGAGGATGGACAGTGGGTGGGGTACAATGCAGAGCACCCAGGCAGACACAGGAGCCAGAGGCCACCCTAAGAAGCCAGTATGGACCCCCCAACAAACCCTGCTTCAGGGAGTGAAGGTAAGGACATGATGCAAGACTGGGAGGTCTCATACAGGAGGGCTGGAGACAGGAGATTGGCAAATTCAAGAGGAGGGAGAAACTATAGGGGCAGCATGCAGGACAGTGCTGACCTGGGTCAGCCCAGGCTGGAAGAGGTGGCTTTGTTCAGCTGGAGCACGCCAAGGAGCCTGCTGCGTGCCAGTGGTGACAGTTCACCAGCAAAGGAATGAGCGTTCGCTAGCGAAACAAGGAAGAAACAACCAAAGGTGACTGAAGTCAACAGCAGCCACTACTCAAATAGCGCACAAGCCGTAATGACGGTCTGCTACCTAACTCTGAGGCAGAGTGCAAGATAGAGCAGCAGCTCCCACAGAGTCCCCCGAGAACAGGGGAGATGGCAAGAAGGAAGACACAAGGTGAGGCAACAGCCTGAGGATGTAAGTGTAAGACAGGGATGGACCGGTCTGACTTAGCTTCAGGTCTTATGTCTCTCAGCCTGGTCACTCTACAGTATGCAGTCGTTTACATGGCCAAAGAAGCCAGGTACGGAAAAAGTGGGGTTTATAGTAGAGGCTTATGGAAAGTCTTGGCTTTAATGGTTCCTTGTTGGCCTCAAACTTAAACTGCATCAAATTCTCCAGCCCTTCTAATACAAACCCAGATTAGGACAAAGCTTTCTGATATCAGGAACAAGAGCTCTGAAAGCTCTGCCCTGGGCAGCACCAACAGCAAAAGGGTAAGCCGTGCTGTGGATTGGACCACTCTCAAACCTAAAACCAGACAGATCCCAGAAACTGGGCCCAAAACAGAAGAGACATCACCCAGCCCCCATACACACACAGAAAGAGTCAGGTGCAGTGGGTAGCAACCAGTTAAAAAAAGAAAAGGAAAGGAAAGAAAAAGAAAAAAAAAAAAGCTATAAACACCAAATTGAAAACCAGCTCCTTGAGTTGAAAGACAACGCAGGACTGCCCTGCGTGCAGGGTTCATGTGTCCTCAGCAGAAAGCGCAGCACGGCAGCGCTTGACAGTGGCCCCAGAGGGCTGGTGCTCCCCGGGGATGACAGGGATCGAGGACACCAAACCAGCAGGAAAAAGGGGGTTTGCCCACTCGCTGCCGAGAACAGAAGTATTTACCTGCTCATCTGAAACACATTTACTGCTGACTGAAGTACATCAGGTCTTCCACTAATTACAACTACCTTCCCACCTCCTATAATAAAGTTCTCGTGCCCTCTCACCCTTTTCTTTTAGCCCTTACCCATTCACTTCTTTCCCGGTGTACTACCAGCAGGGCTTGGAGCACTGGTTTCCCCAACCCGCAGCCAGCTACCCAAACAGATGAGTGAAACAGAAAATTCTGCTCAACAAACCATAAGGAGTCAACTTGGGAGAGGGTACCTAGCTGTGCGAAGAATGGAAATTGATGACTTGCAATAAAGCCAGCCTGCAAAAAGCCCCAAGACTTCTCTTCAAAAGTCACATGGGAAATCGGAAGGACAGAGAAATTCACCCCTTGACTGAGCTTAATATACTAATGTGTCATTTTGGTGGGCTTTAATGGGCTATCAGGCATCCAGGTAAGGATGGAGAGATTACGGAGGTATGAATAAATGTTAAATCTCTGCTCTCAGGGATATCTTAGGAACCTATTTCAGCTGTGAGACTGCCATCAGAGAAAACCTGTGAAAGCCAAAGACATGAACATCTATTTGAAAGCTATGGATGAGAGAGTAAGCGCTGACTACAAAGCAAAATGATGTGGAAGAGGAACTGTGGTCTGAACAAGAAATGGCTCCAGAGCTTACTGGCTTCTCCAGGAGGGACAGGGACCTTTTATGGGCACCTCATAGGCTTGACATCCTGCTGAGTTTTATCTACCTCCAAACAGTACCTTGGCCAGTTTCTCCAATCACTAAACTGATCTTGAAACTGCTTCTGATTTTCTTAGCACAAGTTTAGAGTAGAAGAAGTGGAAGACCACCTGTAGTCTGGTCAAAAATACTGCTAGGCTCATGAGAAAACCCGAAAGCAGGACATCAGTTGGAACTGGAGACTAGACTATGCAATATTGCAGAGCGGGACTGAATCAGCTAGGCTGATGTATCTATTTATACAATAGATATTGGAAGATACAGAAAATTCTGGTATACGGCTGAAAATCACTATGTCTTTTGGGGTGGGGGAAAACGAAACACAAGGATTGTGGACAAAAATGCCCTCTCCCCAGTTGGCTCACTCTCCTGGGTGTAACTATTTCTGTCAGAAAAATAATTCAATTTAAAAGAGGTGCAAGATGTTTCCATGGGGCCATGAGAAGCCTGAAGGTCAACCAAAGCACAAACCACTCTACTTGTCTCTTGATCAACTGTTCAACTGGCTGAAAAGAAATTGGCTGAAGCTGCTGATACAGAACCCCAAATGTCAGAGGTGCTCCCTGCTGCGGGGCAGAAAGGGCCTGCCCAGCCCCCGGGGCTGGGGCGCCGAAGGGGAGAGGAGCGGGAGGGGAGGGCTGCCAGCCACCGTGGGCTCAGGACACCTCTGCCACGCTCAGGCTCCTGACCCGCACAGGGGTCACCCAACAGACTGAAGGTTGACTATTTTCAATATTCGCTTACTTATCTTGCGAACTCTTCAAACAAGAAACTCCTAGTCTTGAGGGGCCTTTTTAGGTACCCTGGCCAGTAAAACCCACACCAGGTATTACATAGACTATTTAAGTAAAAAGCAATGCATTTTTTTTTCATTTATATATTTTTATAGCAATTAGGAAAGAACAAGTATGCCAAAGATCTTTTAAAGACCCTTGTTTGTGTGAACTATCACCAGTGCCAGAGGGGAACCTCAGGACAGAAAGAAACCCCCCAGCTGCTGGGTGAGCTTCCCAAGAAAACCATTGCACCCAAATAAAACAGGGCTTCTCTACAGCTCCTCCGATGTGCCAAGGACAACCCTGCTCCTTGAATCTGTGGTACCCTCATGAAAGAGGATGCACAACCCCCGGAGCAGCTGGGGCAAGAGCACGCGGTGATGCTGGAGGGGGGCTGCAGGATGCACTGTATGAAGCCTCTGGCATAAAACCAGGAGCAACAGCAGTGGAGTAGATCCTGGGAAGGGACCAAGGCTCTCTGCAGAGCGAAGCAGCCCAGGAGATTATCCACAAGTCATTTATGAACTGCCACAGACTGGGCAAAAACAGACTAAAGAGAAAATAAGAAACCAGAACTGAAGTCAAAGGACACCGGGTAGAATTGGAAGCCGGACCAGGTGATATCGTGGATAGCTGGTGCTGCAGGCAAGTGCTGGCCAGGGCAGGTGCTCTTCAAGGAAAACAAGGAGCCCAGAAGAGAAACCTGCCAAGGACCCGAGGAGTTAACATACAAACTAGCATTGCAATTGTGAATTTGCAGAGACAGAGCTGGAACTGGACAAAATTGGGCTGTCCTCTTTCCCATCTGGAAGAGTCTTGACCTTGTAGGCCAATAAATCCTCAAGAAAATGAATAGGGTTTTTTTTTTCAGAGAGAGGAAGAATGCAATGCCAGCTGACCCAGAGCAAACAGGGACTTTGCATCTCTAGGAAGATCTGAGAAAGGAAGGGACCTAATGAATAAGGGGATTGTCTTTTATTAAGATTTGGAAAATGTAATACAACATCTTCCAGGGGAAAAAAATGAGAAAGGTTTGAATACAAATCCTCTGAGTTGGATTCCTCTTTCTTTTATCCTCTCCCCCTCTTACTGATGGCTCTAGGAAGAGGCTCTCTATGGTAGAATGGGTAAGGGATGCAAAAGCATCGCTCCAAAGACCCGCAACCCTCTGCCTCCAAAACTGGGTGCAGTCAGCAGCCTCACGGGCGTGAATGAGGTCCCTGCTCCTGCAGCTGCTCCAGCCCCAGCCTGTTCCTGAGGAGGCAAAACATCTTTCATTATTTCAATAGGTATTCATAGAGGCACAGAATGACAAAGGCTGAAGGGCAGGGGGGAGCAGGACAGGGGACAAGAGCTCATCAGCCAGCGATGCTCCTGCCTGCGACACTGCAAGGCTCATTTTCCCCCTCAGCCCCTGACCCTGAGCACAGATGAATTCTTTCAGGGAGCCCTGCTGGTGCCAGTCACTAGACGCCCTCCTTAAAGGTGCCAGGATTGCATCTGCCAGGATCTATACGCTGGCTAATGAGGCCAAAATGCATAAAAGTGAAAAATCAAAGAAAACAGTGCCTCCACATGCAGATCTCAAGTTATTTTGGTGAGATTTCAGCACTCAGGAATTATTTTCCTGCAGTGATAAGAAATATAGACAGGAAGTGTAGCAAAAAGGCTGCGGTCGGGGCGCTCTGTGGCACTGGTGCCACTGGCCCCAAGCAGGGAGAAAGCAGAAGGCTAAGCCAAACCACGCTTCAAGGGCCCAAAGACTGTGCAAAGGCGTGACAGGCTAGAAAAAGCCAGGGGAAGGGGCTGGAAACAGGCTTCGAGGGTACTCTCTGGCAGTTGCATCTGCCTGGGCTGAGAGGTGAGCAGGATGAATGCCCAGAGGCACCAGACTGCCTTGGCGCAGGAGAGCTCGGATCAGCCAGAGGAAGACTCCATCACGGGGGAAAGAGCAAGGCTTTGCCCACTCTTTACGATATAACTGTGTCATGCTTGTAGAACAGAGAGGATTTGAATCTGTCCATGGCAGAAGGGCCTGACGAGCCACAAGGGATGCAGCCCGTAGCTGCAAACAGGGCCTGGCCCTTCCTGCAGCAGGGTAGGAAGATACCTGCCTGTGCTGTAAACATGCAGCAGGGGTAGTGGAAATTTGGGTAGTGGTGGAGAAGGATGGACGAGCAGCTGGGGGAGGCCCCCGTACCAACCTTCTCTGGATCTAACTAGCAGCTTCTGGAGCCACCTCTGTGTTTCACTCATCAGTACAGCCAACAACTTTTGGCTTGCGGCCTCCATAAAGCCGTTTCCTACTGCTGAATGTCCTCCCAAGGATGATTTGCCTGCTGGACTGATGCTGCTCTTGGGGAAGCACAGGAGAGGGAGTGCAGCACCACCAAATAACCTGAGGCACCAGCCTGGCAGCCCAGCTTGTTGCAGTGCAGTGCTCCTGACGCCCTGCACACAGCACAGTGCCACATCACGGAGCTGCAAACAGGCGCCTTCAATGTCATAGCCAAGACCTTGAATCCCTAGACGAACACCTTTTCTTCCCAAACCACCATCCCCCCTCTAAACCTTCTCAATCTCCTCTTACAGAAAGGCATTATGCCAAAGGAGAAGAAAATGAGTTAAGCTCCTGCCTGTAGAGCAAGGAGAGACTGGCGAGCAGCTGCTTTCCCCCAATGCAGGAGGGGAGCTGGGGCTTCAGAAGGCAACAGCTCCGCAAGCTGCCAGGACACCACAGGCTTGAGGGAGACAGAGCAAGCAGGAGGTGAACAGCCCCAAACAGAGATGGCCCACGGGGGACACTTAGATACAGCAGGACCAGGGAGGTGAATGCATAACCTCGGCTGTCCCAAAAGCAACAGCAATCTGAGAAAGAAAAGCCTGAGTAGTTTGGGATGAAGTAGTCACTAGTCCAAGCTCAGTCCTGTCCTGAAACCTCATCTCAAATACCTGCACCATCCGAGCTGTGGATTAGCTGCTGCTGCCTTGCAGACCCCACTTACTGTTCCACCCTCGTCTCTTCCTTTGCTCAGTTTCATGTTTTAGCCCCACTGGGATAAGCAAAACAGCCCTTTGCCTCTAACATTTGGGAAATGATTGTCCAGACCCTCCAACCTTCGCTCTCCTGCAGGCCTAGCTATGCCCGCCCAAGGGGAGCGGGTTCAGAGAAAAGAAGGTGGCACCATCCCAGCCCACGACTTTGACATTCCACAGTTTAGACACTAAACCTATCAGGTTTTATTTGTCTAACAGTGAGCCCCTAAGCCCAGCACCCTCCCGGGGCTCAGACCACCCCTCTTCCCTCAGCAAAGCCAGTTCAACAGGCTGTGCAATGCAATCCCCGACTGCATGCTTCGAGAGCACAGCATGAGTGCCTTCTGCCTCCACACAGGAGCTGCACCTGCATCACAGACCCTCAATGCTGACAAGGTTATCCCACGATGCTGAAAATCCATTGTGCAAACAGAGCCTAGGACAACAGAATTTCTGTGCCGGCAGATGCGTCCCCTTCTCGGTGACGTTCGCTAATCCCAGAGAGTGCTCTGCTCAGCACAGCTGTACCCGCTGCAGGGCTCTGGGTAACAAAGCTGCTTAGCTATAGGTATGGGTTTTCTTACCCACAGCTATTGTAGCAAAACTATAGTTAGTCAGCTCACACACCTTAGGTTTGAGAAGCTGGGGGTGCCCAGGCATCGTTTCACTACATCCGCAGTTTTCAACCTGTCATCTGCAAACTCCATCTGCACATTCCACCAAAGGCAACTGAGAGAAATAAGCCTTTAGCTATGGGTAGCCTCTAGTTCACTGGAGACTTGTAGGGATTCAAAACCAAGTTGAAACACCGCTGCATGGTGATCCAAAACACTGAGCCCTGGACAGCGATCCCACCGCTGTGAGGAAGTCAAGGTTTACTGGAGAAAATCAAAGGATGGTGGTTACTCCAGTAACCTGACACACGAGAGACAAGTATGAATTATATTCACAGCAGCTAGAATGGGGGCTGAGACATGTCTACCTGGCACGTTAAGACCAGCAGGAGTGAATGCTTCCAGATCAGATCAGGGAATACTCCAAAGAAGACAAAGTTGGAAAAGAAAGCAACCCAGACTCCTCCATAGCTCACTTCTACTCTTTCATGGGAGCTGTGGGAGCACTACCAGTTGGTATCATCAACAGAGTTAAAAGATTGATGGCATTAGCTAGCAGCCAGCAGCAAATGAAGAACAGGACAAGAGAGAGGTGTGGACAAGAGGGTGGTGGCTGCCCACTTCACCCAGCCTGATGGACAAGCTGCTCCTTGAAGACGCACAGTGGGCAGCACTGCTGCGGCAAGGCAAAGATCGCTCCACAGGGCACAGCTGGGGAACAAGGGTGGGTATCATTTCTGGTTTTAAGGTGAGGTTTTGGGTAGCAGAAGGTAGAAAATGGACAGTCCAGAAAACTGCTACCCAGAGCAGGTCTGGCACGGTAAGCACAAAGCAAAGACACTTCATCATACATCAGCAAGAGCAACACACTCCCTTAAAAGATGCCCACTCCATTCCAGCTCCCCCTGGTGAGGCTGTACCATGGTCCACGCTTACAAAAGACCCAAAATTTAAGTTACTACCTTATTTCACAAAAGACACCAAGAAGCTATTAGATGACAACTTGTGCCTACCACCAGTCTAGGCTGTATCTGAACCAGTGACCCAGAGGTGAAAGGCCCATGCCCCGTTATCAGTCTTCAGAGATACGTGATCCCCTCAGAACAGCAGGATCCTGACAGGCATTTTCAAAAGGGCACAAGCAATTAAGAGATCATCACAAGCCACTTGACAATATGCCCATCATACAACGCATTTTCAGCAAATAGCAGCCTTTACACTGGAAATAAATAGAAAAGAGCAGTAGATGGGTGCTAGATGGAAGAACATTAATTCTCCATCACATTTCATCCCTAATGGACTGAAGTACAAATGTAAGTATGGGCATCACCTACTTTAACTGCCATAATTTGCCCACTTGGTTTGTGGACCATTTTGTTGACAGAACCATAAGCGCCTCGTCCAATTTCTCCAAGGTCTTTCAAGTCCTCTGCTGTAAAATCCCAATGTTGTTCAGGGGAAATCTTCAATTTTCCTGATGATTCAATGCTGTGTGTTCTCAGTCTCTCTCTGTCAAAAATATTGGGAAGCAATTTTTCCACATTTTAAATAGTCTGTAAATTTCTCTTTTCAGCACTTGATTAAACATTAGAAGAGAGGGGTTCACAAAGGCTACAGCAACAATCTGACTGCACGAAGGAGTTTGGTTCGGGTGGGGGGTGCAGGGGTGAGGGAAAATGGTAAATCAAAAATGACATACACTTGCCCACAGCTTCAATTAAGGGTAAGTTTCTCCAGCTGCAGCATAAAATTAAACGTGTCTCATACAGTAGAGTCATTCTAATCACTCATTTATACAGTTCTTTCTACTTTGCACAAAATACATCAGGCTTCAAGCAGGATCTGGTAACATGCAGAACCATGAGTCCGAAGAGCACTCCTCAGCCCCATCTCCCCAAAGCTTCTGCTGCTCTACACCGCTGCACCGCCAGGAACCATCTCCCTTCCCGCTGGGTTTCTGTGCCACACAGGCAAGATCTTCTGTGTGAACTAAGGGGACTTTAGGAAGAGTTTGCTCTTAATGGAAAACTGCAATTAATTAAAAAAAAACAAACAAAACAAACCAACCCAGAACATTTTAGGCGATTGTTTAATTCAGTAAAACCCAAAGAGCCAATATTTGTATTTACAAAAACCAAGTTGTTTGTGACATATGAAAACTGTTCAAGTGTGTCTTTACCAAACACCTAAATTAATGTTCTCAGGCAAACATTGCTCCAACTGAAGCCACCAGAATTTGTCCAGGTAAGAAGCAGAACAATGCCCAGAATTTGTAGGACAGAGGAGTTCAATGGTGGTTTTAAGATGGCCCCAATTGCAGCAATGCTATCACTGAGTTAGTAAGAAATGCACAAGTATTTTCAACACTTTTTGTCTTAAAATGCCATGCAAATTTTCATTTTTTCATTCATTAATTAACTAGCTGATTTGCACTTCTTGGGTTTTGAAGTAAGTAAAGTGAGTTTCCCATTTCCGAGTAGCATTAACGGCATTAACGGCAGTTCCCACTGCAGGGCACACCGACCCCATGCAGGTATTGAAGCCAACAGGCGACCACATTGTGTACAATGGAGATTCTGTCAAACTCATCCCTCGGACTCTGATCACTTCTCTGGATATTTGATCAAGCCACCACTCGCTCGTCCAGGGTCTGGCCAAACAAGCAGAACACACTTGAAGTATTCGATCAAATGCATAAAGCTTATCGGGTTTATCAGCCAGAGGAATAACCACATTATGGCCAATTCCATGCTGATAAACCCAACTGTTTGTCAACGAGCAGCTGCAAATGCTAACCCTGTTGGATGTGATGGTGGACCCAACCATGACCTCCACTGGGTTTTATTTGGAACCCAGGTTTTGCAAGGGCAACGAGGTCAGGTCCAAAGGTCAGCTGACTGGAGCAGCTATGGTTCAGACGGCTTCACATGCTGCACTGCAGCTTGTCTCTGATGCTTTGGTTTAGCACTTTCCAGGCTTTGAGCAGCTGCTTGTCCTGAACCCTTGACCCATTCGATGAGCCTTGCTGAACACCTCCTCTCACCACTCAGTGCTGTGCCTGCCCCAGTCCTGCCTGCTCCCTAACTGCCTGGCTTGAGATTTTCAAACTGCTGCTCCCTATAGTGTCCTCGGCTGCCCTTGGGAATCATTTGGGGAACTACTGACAGTGCTAGGAGATGGCACAGATGTGCCAGAGATGGCACGGCTTTGTTAGCACCATTTACATATTTTTGAGTTCCTGTGCATAACAAAACACTGCACCAAGAGGGGTTCTCCGTAAAAAGCAAGGAATGAAAATAAGGCAGTGAAATGACCAAAAAAAAAAAAAAAAAGAAGAAAAGAAAGATATTAAAAGAAAATAAACACAGCCTTCAGACTTGCCAGCTGTCTTGCAGGCAGCTTGTGCTGGAAGCTGCATGAATCAATTACTGTCTAACATCTCGACCCTCCTATTCTGCCAGTACCATAATACTAGTTCTTCTTTTAATGGAAGAAAGTAGGTGGCAAGCATGATGCTGAGGAGGCACCGGCAAGCGGGCATCTCCTGCCTACCACCTGCAGCTGGCAGGCAGGAAGAGGAACGACCGTGGAGAGCTAAATCTTGTTCAAAAAGGCAGGGAAAAAAAGACAGAGAGGTGTTACCAGGAGGGTGAAATGTCAGATTTGATTTTCTGAGCAAACCCTTTCCATGTCTTTATTTCATATCGAAGCTCTCACAGAGTTAAAAACTATAAATGTTGACATGGTTTGTCAAAATAAAGCCATTAAACCCACCTCTGCTCTTCCCCCGTTTGTTTTTCTGCCCAGGAAACCTTGCTTTTCTTACCCTACATCAGAAGGGAAAGCAAATTTGAATTCATTATTTCAATCTTACACAAGAAGCCTGTTCCTCCCCAGCTGTAGCATGAAAGCAGATCTGTGCCTCTGTTCCCGCAGCTGCAGGATGTGTGGTTCCAGCAGCTGGGAAGAAGACGTGAGCTAGGAAATACCCTCTCCACGGGTCTGCTCTGAGTGCCCTCTGCAGCAGCACTCCAGGGGTTTGGATGGAGATGCACCGTCACCGTCCACCCACAAAACCTCATGTGTTGGAGCTTGGCTTCATTTCCATTCTGTATTTGTGACACCATCTGCCCCATACTGCAACCACAGTTCCTGCTTATCTTTTTTCAAATACCCAGGGAAATGGTCAAATAACCAAATGACAAGTTTGACAGAGCCACAGACACTTCAAGACAGATTTTGCTCATTTAGCTGATTTGTCATATGGAAACAATGCGGTTTTCCTTTAAGCAGCATGGCCCATCTTAAAAGTCAGTAACTAGAACACAAGGATTACTTTTAGCATCAAAAACCTACACTTTAAACAGGAATTTTTCAGCGTAAATCAAAATCCCACGGGATTTCCATGCCAAGAAAGCAGCTCAAAAAATGCAGATCTAGAACATAGACTCTCTGCATTGATATCAAATGGATATTTTCTGATGTAAAACTGAGCGAGGCAAGAAGAACAAATACCATAATCCTGCAGTACACCTATTACTGGATTTGCACTGCTGCAGATATACGAGGATGCAAATCCACTGGGCGGACATGCCCCCAAAATACAAAAAAGCCTGCCTAAACCCTGCCACTGCATCCGAGCCTGGACACTACAAGAGCTTGCTTCAGAAAACAGAAGGCTAACCACGCGGAACAGTGTCTAGCAAAGGTGAAAAGCAATTAATGCCCAGTTGCTGCTTCTGCAACCCATCAGGTTTCAGGCCCCATGTTTGGTGCTCATGGGTTTGCACAGACAGGGCCAGGCATCAGCCTCCTCTTAGCATTTCGTTTTTAAGCTGTGCAATCCAAACCTCTCTCAGGCTGGGAATCGAGGGCAAAACTTGGCATATATTCTCCAAATGATCAGGATGTCTAAAAGGGACTTGTGGGGCTTGATGTGTGATTTAAAAAAATAAAATAAATAGCTAAGGAGGGCGAGGTACTACTCAAGCAGTTAAAAGTAGGATTTTCAAATGTGCCTTAGGGACTATAGCTCCTGTTGATTTGACCAGGACTGGAGCTTCCAACTCCTCGTCTTGCTTTTGAAATGTTTTAAAAACAAAAAAAAACAAAAAAAAAGGCTCAGGAGGTCGCTGGGATTACTGCATTTGAAAGGCATCAGTGTATGGGTCTTCCTTCAGATGGTTACTGTGCTTGTCACAGCAGTTATTCCAGGGATTAGGAGCACCAGGCAAGACAACAACTCCTGCGAACAGTTGCCCTTTGTCAGAAATGAGAACGTTTGTGGGTCCGGCTTGGCAGCAGGCGGGCGGACGGCTGGCGCCAGGCACCGCAGCCGGGCCAAGGACAGGGTCACAGGCAGTCAGGACAGGAGGCTGCTCGCTGCAGGCTTAGCAAGCTGGACCCGGGTGGGAAGGTCTGCCAGGGCCGGAGGCCCGCAAAACCTCCAGAGGAGAACCAGAGGCACCAGGAAGCTCTCGAACAGGCTGGGTTAGTGCCCCAAGCCCTGCTGTTAAGCACCGAACTGCAGGGATGCCAAAATCTTTTAAAACAAGCATTTCCTTGGCATGAAAAAGAAGGGCTGTGGGAGAAGCAGAGAAAAGTGGATGGATTTTGTAAGCAAAACTGAAAGTTATCAGACATGAAGCAAGGCCAGAAAGGTGCTGTAGTAGCTGCCTAGCTCCTCTTGGTTTTACTCCATTAAGGGTTCTGCAGGACTTGAAGAAACCCAAAAGCGGAGGTATTCGACGTTACAGCTGACAGGAATAAAACAGACCTGCAGAGTCAGAAAGATCCAGGCAAAGCCACTGTACTGCACAAGCCTGCACAGCGCTGGATTCTTCTAGGAAGTCTCTCCTTAAACCTCCTATCTACACCACGGCTAATGAGAATATAGTCTACTCCAAAAGTCTGGGAAAAGCTGCTCAACACAACAGACTTGAGAAACTGATTTGTGGTCAATCAGCCACAGGAATGCTAGAACAGAAACCCTGAAAAAAAAAAAGCTTCCCTGCAAACTGCAGGGTTCTAATAAAACCGTGCATTGTTTGTAACGTCAGAGGGAAAACACTGCTTATGACTTGGGCTAACACATTTCTACCAAGCCTTTCAAATAGCCTAGAGAGGCTGCAATGTTTCTATTTCAGTGTCGGTGTTACTTATAAAACGGTTTTCAGACCCTGCAGGCTAACAGTAATAAAATAGCAATGCTAGTTTAAATTTCACTGGATAAAGTCTCCAAAAGAAATGTTCCATTTTCTTCTAGAGGGCTGAAAACGTTGGTGCTCTCACAAATCTTTTGGATTCTGGCAAGATGAAATTTCTGATTCCAATAAGCTGATGGGCAACGGCATCCTTGCAAAAGGGGCAGAACTCAATGGGTTTTGCTCTGCCCCATGTAAGCTGTACTGAGGATTAGTTTTATTTAATAGAGATTTCTAGACGTGAAGAAGAGATTCAGAAAATGTAGGAATGAATTTATTTAGTTTTGCATCTCTGACCTATTTGGA